CCTTCCAAACCTTTAAATCGATTTATCTCCGTTAATATGGCTCTAATCGCGAAAAGAGGGGTGTTCAGATGCTCGAAATTTTCATACCTGGATTCCTCAGTATATAATATCCCAAATATTTTATTCGTCGGCTGGTGGACCTTCCAAACCTTTAAATCGATTTATCTCCGTAAATATGGCTCTAATCGCGAAAAGAGGGGTGTTCAGATGCTCGAAATTTTCATACCTGGATTCCTTAGTATATATTATCCCAAAATCTTTTATTCGTCGGCTGGTGGACTTTCTGAACCTTTAAATCGATTTATCTACATAAATATGGCTCTAATCGCGAAAAGAGGGGTGTTCAGATGCTCGAAATTTTCATACCTAGATTTTCTAGTATATATTATTCCAAAATCTTTTATTCGTCGGCTGGTGGACCTTCCGAACCTTTAAATCGATTTATCTCCATAAATATGGCTCTAATCGCGAAAAGAGGGGTGTTCAGATGCTCGAAATGTTCATACCTGGATTCCTCAGTATATAATATTCCAAAAACTTTTGTTTTTCGGCTGGTGGACCTTCCAAACCTTTAAATCGATTTATCTCCGTTAATATGGCTCTAATCGTGAAAAGAGGGGTGTTCAGATGCTCGAAATTTTCATACCTGGATTCCTCAGTATATAATATCCCAAAATCTTTTATTCGTCGACTGGTGGACCTTCCAATCCTTTAAATCGATTTATCTCCGTAAATATGGCTCTAATCGCGAAAAGAGGGGTGTTCAGATGCTCGAAATTTTCATACCTGGATTTTCCAGTATATAATATCCCAAAACCTTTTATTCGTCGGCTGGTCAAAAAACTTTTATTTTTCGGCTGGTGGACCTTCCAAATCTTTAAATCGATTTATCTCCGTAAATATGGCTCTAATCGCGAAAAGAGGGGTGTTCAAATGCTCGAAATTTTCATACCTGGATTTTATAGCATATGATATTCCAAAAACTTTTATATGTCGGCTGGTGGACCTAAATTTTTAAATGCAAAATTATTGAGATTTCTTCGAAATGAAAAATTTGTTGCTCTCAGCAAAACATCAACAAATAATGATAACAATATTTTTACAGGATTCAAACTGAGAATGCAAGCCTGCAGGATCATTTCATCGGAGATTGAATTAAATCAATTAGTTTTGCTGTTTGAGGTGAGTTGTTAGAACAATTTTACATATTGAAGCAATCAAAACAATATATTGTTCCATCCGCAGGAACATCATCTTTCCTATAGCTGAAGGAATATAGCCGAACGGAAACCCTTTCTTCTCTGGCATAAATAGAATCTCTCTGGTAGTAGAATTAGATATTTAAGTGCTAAATTATTGAAATACCATTGAAATAAAAAAAAAATCGTAGAGCAAACATGATAAAACCAACTAAATCCCTGCATGCTTCGATCGATGGTTGCAAATCGTATTCGAATACAATCCTACCATATTAAACCAACAACCAGCATCGGGTGCCTGCATTGGAATACATTCTACAAAGGGGCTCTTCTATTTTTAATTAATTTGGTTGGTCACGCCCTAATAAAAATTACCATAAACGAACGATAACACAAATCATTGAACTATTTCACAAATTGTTTGGATGATACCTTGAACACGTAGTTAAGCAAATTAACCATAACATTTTTACTAGGGCGTTACCATATCAACATTAATCGATTCGTAACCTTAGCATGTTTTTTCAATTTTATTTGAAAACCAGTAATTTTTATTTTAGGATAGGCGCATAAAGGGTGATACGGTCAAAATTTGGTCAAGGGAAAACGCGTGTAAATCGGTGAAATCGTTTATTTAAAAAATCAAATTAAATTTCTTTTTCAAGTTCAATTAGTATAAAATTCAGGAAAAATATTCAGTTAGGCTTCCGCTTTTCCAAATCCGAATTGCCGGGCCTTACGCTTGACCCCTGCCATCAGATTTTGTACAGCCACCTTGTCCACCTTCTTCGCCGCAGAAAGCCAGTTTGCCTTGAACTGCTGCTCGCCCTTAGCAGTTTTTTGGTCTTCTTTAGGTTCCGCTTGACAATAGCCCAGTATTTCTCAATTGGGCGGAGCTCTGGCGTGTTGGGAGGGTTCTTGTCCTTGGGAACCACCTGCACGTTGTTGGCGGCGTACCACTCCATGGCCTTTTTACCGTAATGGCAAGATGCCAAATCCGGCCAAAACAGTACGGAACAACCGTGTTTCTTCAGGAAAGGCAGCAGACGTTTATTCAAACACTCTTTCCCGTAAATTTCTTGGTTGACAGTCCCGGAAGCTATGAAAATGCTGCTTTTCAAGCCACAGGTACAGATGGCTTGCCAAACCAGATATTTCTTTGCGAACTTTGACAGTTTCATGTGCTTGAAAACATCTGCTACCTTTCCCCTTCCTTTTGCCGTATAAAACTCCTGTCCCGGAAGCTGCTTGTAGTCGGCTTTGACGTAGGTTTCGTCGTCCATTACCACGCAGTCAAAGTTCGTCAGCATCGTCGTGTACAGCCTCCGGGATCGCGCTTTGGCCATCGTATTTTGTTTATCATCGCGATTTGGAGTCACTACCTTCTTGTAAGTCGATAGTCCGGTTCGTTTTTTGGCTCGATGCACGGTTGTAGACGATACACCCAGCTTATTTGCGGCATCTCGGAGAGAGAGGTTAGGGTTTCGCTTGAAACTACCGGCAACTCTCTTTGTCGTCTCAGCGGCTTCCGGTTTTCGATTTCCCCCCGATCCAGACTTCCTGGCTGTCGACAAACGTTCCCCAAACACTTTAATTACATTTGTAACGGTTGATTTGGCAACTTTTAGCGATTTTGCCAACTTTGCGTGCGAGTAGCTCGGATTTTCGCGATGCGCGAGCAAAATTTTGATACGCTGCTCTTCTTGCTTGGACGGCATTTTGACAACTGAAGAGTGAATTCCAAAATCAAAATAGGAGCAACATTCTACACACACACACCTTCAAAATGAGGGGTGTTCAGGTTTTTTAAATGCAAAATTGAAAGAAATACGTCAAGTTGATATTGACCAAATTTTAACCGTATCACCCTTTATCACAATAGTTTTTTAGGTTTTGTAATTATAAAGTTCAAGTATATATATAAAGATCTATTGAGGATTTTTTTCTTCTCAGGATTACTCACAATTCACCGCTGGACTGTGCATTGATCTCGGTATGGACCTGGAAAAATATCTTGAGAAAAAAGAAACAGTAAGTTGTTTCATTATTAAAATAGATCTTCGATAAATAAATCGATGGTTCATGAAATGCTCACACAATTGAAGCAAGATTAATCACATTTCACAACGGATGACCAATCTGATAAGATGAAAAGCAACACCAGCTCGACACGAATCAAGAACAGAAATGTGATTGAACCAGATCACGGCCTAGAATATCTTCACAGCGCTCTGAAAACTCACGTCCTAACCGACCGACGTCTTTCAACAAGTTTGCTGTGTTACCTGACTTATAACGAATAAACGTTATGCCCGCGGGCTCCGGTTACAAATATACTTCGTCTAATTTAAAATAGCATTTGAACTGCAAAATTCGACGAGTTCATGTTCCCCCAGATACAACGTATATTCGTTAGGTCAAATAAGTCAGTAGTCGAGGCGAAATAGAAGTGACTCACTCAAAGATCGTTTGGTCAACTTGAAACGAAAGTGACAAAAACTACACCAAACGTCTGACTGAAAGGGCTGAAATCAAATCCTGCCTTTTACCTTCAGTAAACGGTACTTCCTCAAAAATTTTCTCAAAATTTAGATGGGATACCATCCTGTGAGGAATTTTAGGGGGCGGTTGTACTGACCCAATGGAGCACTTATCATAGCAAAATGTCCTGCAGGACTCAATCTACACACTTAGAAATAACTAATTTTACACGTGCGGATCGGATTCTTTGACATAAAAGATGAGACGTAAACAAACATGTCATGTAATATTAAATGCTCCGAGACTAAAAAGTTCGTTGCTCGACGAAAAGTACGTTTGATTGAGCTATATTTCACGTCTGTTATGACTCAAATTTATGTCAAAATTGACGCTCGTATATGTCAGTCTCAGAGCACCTAGATTTACACGATTTTTTGTAAGTGTGTACATATATAGGGGAAATGGCTCTAATGTTGCTATTTATCAATTTTATCTAGATGAACGCGTCATTAGAATGGTACTAATGGATATCTTTGGTCGGTATTGAAAATTTAGTCGATTGCTGAATTTATGTATGGATCACTATATGGACGAATGAAATTGTTCCACAATTTCTGCCACTCACTGCCATTCCTCCGAACCGACCGGTGGTGCAGCCTCACGCACACTACAACTACGACGAGACGCAGTTTGTTTTTGTTTACATTGCTGCCCATCTACTAGTAGTAGCAGTAGGCATAGTTTTGGGAACAACACGTGCGTGCTAAGTGCCGCGTTGCCTCCGTTCGGTAAAAGCAGCCCGCGTGTGCTGCTCGGACTACATTCCAGTCTTTGGTGGATCTTCGAAGCAACATGTGAGTAGATTTAGTTTCTGGTTCCCTTTGATCTGTGTGTTTGATTTATAAGAGATGAGCTGTAATGCTTTATTTGATAGATTCCAAATTTTATCGTAAATCCCATTCGATTGCACTCGCTGTTGTTGCAATGGGATGTAGCATGGCTATGCGTAATTCGCGACACAGCGACTGCTCCCGGTTAAACTGATTGTATTGGTGTTACTTTGCATTACCGTCGTCGACGTCGGTTCCATTCGCAACGTACACTTGCGCAAATATCCCCTAAAGTGAACTTATACCTACTTGCGGCGTCGCGCAAACGGCAACGTGAAAGTTGTTCCAATCGTTTTTTTTTATGAGTTACATTTCATCAACATGGTGATTTGTGTGCACAATATTTCTTACTGGTTTGGTATTGGTGTTCGGCAACGGCCATGGATAGCCGGACGAGGTTTAAGCCATCCATTTCGTAGGCACGGTCCGTCAGTCTGATCGTAGAGGTTGTTCAAATAACGTGCGGATTTCGTTTCGACGTTGCACAACGTGTGTGTCGTTTTTGTGTTTATTGTTGTCTAATTCCCTGCAATCTATTACATTGTGATTGCCCCGTTTTGTGCTTAATAGTTACATTCCAATTCTAGAAACATTCCTAGATTTCAGTTCGGTTTACTGTGTTTTGTTTAGTGATATAGTCGTGTTGTGTGTGGGCTTATCATAATTCTTATCTGTTGAGTAGATAGTTTAAACTAGTGGGCAAGATGGCAGGCAAAGGTAAACATTTCATTAGTCCTAAAAATATCCTAGTACGTTCTGAACTGCGCGCGGGGATTCCAGCGATCGAATCCAAGTCACGTGACCCAGCATCCTAGCGAGATTTAGCAGAGTGCGGCGGTCATAAGGGTGACTGCAATGAACAAGAGAGCCCATTCGTCGCCACCGCCGCCGCCGCCGTCATTGTCGACGTAGTCAATGTCTGGAGATAAAGATCACCAAACGATCCGCTCAGGGGGTGAATGTGACTTTGTGCCAAGGGTACAACAGTGCACTGTCGATCTCGTTCGGTGCTGTAACAGCTTCTGAACTGCTCGCATACGAAACGAACGACGTTCTTATGCTTTGTAAGGTGACTCAGATGCAGTTGATGTACTGTACACATCATCAGAACAGGATGGTAAGGAGCAAGAGGAGAAGGTGAGGGACAGATGATGGAATAGAAGGAATTTTGGACGCGATCATTGGAACCTCGATCAGGGTCAGTTGCTAAGTTGTTAGTGCGGTAGACAATGACGGACAGATACGAGAGCATACAGGTTGTGATCGGGTCTCTGGCGGTGTTTTGTTGCTGCGCGATCGTTCGTTGGCGGCTTCGCAGTGTGTGTCAAGGACAAGCATTGGACTATGGGGGGTTTCTCGCGTGATTTCTAGCCGTTGTGCTTAAATGGAGCATGCGGTGCGTTTGAAGAGTGCAGTTTTGACAATTTCTGAAGTTGAGCACCTATGTCATTCTATTGCAGTCGAATCGCAAAATGGTCACGAGCAGCTCATTGGTGTAACATGTATTAGATTATGGTATTGTTTTCAATTAACAATAGAAGTGTATAACTTCGAATATGATCTCAATGTCATTGCTTTATTAATATTTAAATTTAGCAAAACAATCAGGAAAAACATTGGCCAACATTGTTAAAAAGTAACCATGATTTTTGGTATGAAAATAACATATTTTTCGGTAAAACATAAAAAACTACAGTGCGAACAGTAAAATGAGATAATCGCCGACTTCGGTAAACAAAATCGGACAAACCGTAAAACATGAACCAGTTTACCAAACTTCTGTACGCAGAAACTGTCAAATCGTGAAGAAACTCTGTTTATAAGTGAACCGTGCTTCGAGAATAAACACCAACTTAAAGTGCTGATGAATTGATCAAGGTACAGCATTATAAACAGATGTATTTTGCAACAAATAATTCCCTTAACAATTACTATTTTATAGAGCGAAGCAGGGTTGATTCCACTAATTTGTTTTATTAAATGTTTTTTGGAATCATTAGACGTTATATTTATATTTTTTACTTGTTAGATACAAGAAGAGGTTGAAAGGCAAGTGTTTGATGTATGAATCCTATCAAATTCGCTTTCAGATAGTTACAATCAGCGATTTTACGACTGAGTGAATGCTCACGAATCATAAAATTGCTGATTGTGACGCTCTGAAAGCCAAATTGATAGGTTAAATGTGTCAAACACTTGCCTTTCAACCTGTTCTTTTATCTAAAAAGTACAAAATATCATTATAAAATCTAATGATTTAAAAATTCCGAAAATAATGTTTTTATAGCAAGTGAGTGCAAGCAACCCTGGAGCGAAGACATTTTTACCATCCAAAATGCAATGTCACCCGTTCTATTTGTCAGAGGACCATTCTTTTAGGGCTCAAATGATTGTCCCATATGCTCGATATTTTCATACAGCCAGTTTCTATTTTAAATATCGCGCCAGAACCTTCTGGCAAAATTTGCTCAATAAAAACTATCAAATTCCTATTATTGAAAAAAGATAATTCAATACAAATTAATCGAAAAAATGAGTAGATTTAAAAAAGATCGAGTTCTCGTTTAACGGAAGTTCGGTAATAACTGTAGAAAAACACCGAATCGATCGGTAACTTTGACAGATAATCCAAAAATCTGTTTACCGATACCGGTAGTCATTACATTAACCAAACTGAGCTGTTGAAAGTTCGGTAAAAAATTACCGAATACGGTAATAATTTTCAAGTGTGTATTGAAGGATAAGTTCTGTATGATTGTTTAACGATTAACCATTACTACAACATATGCAAATTCAAATTAACTTTCCCGCGAAAATGGACTGACTATCCTCTCAAGCTTACAATAACGCCCTAAAACTTAGATGAGGAGGTTGATAAAGCATAATTAATTATGGTCGCACTTCAAAAGACTGAGCCATCGCATTCGTAGCCGCAACTAATCTTATCTGCATTACGTAGGTTGTTGTCTGTACGTGTCTGTCTCGCCGTGCATCGACGTTGGCCGTCTGTTACTAATAATGACTCTGACGTTTCACAGGTTTCAGTTAGGGACCGACCACAACGACAATCTAACCAGCACGCACGCATTCCCTAAAACTGAAGAACCGGTTCCGTGGTCGCGGTCGTTTTTTTCCACTGAAAGCGGATGCGCATCATAAATTTCCGATTGGAAGTTACCGAATGGCATTGAAATTCGTTCTATGTTTGTTTGCATTCCGAATGTATTACGTGATATTTTTTTTTGGAGATCGCACAAAGACAGACAAATATTTCGATGTCGCTCTACTTCTGCTGAACAGGTTTAGTTTTAAGCTTCCTGCTGTTACTTATTAGGATGGCCCAAAATATCAGTTTGTCTGGAAACCTGTGGGCTCACCCTCCGAATCATAGCTAAGGATGTAAAAAAAAACTTGTGTATGGCGGAAACTCTGAAAAACGTGTTAGATTTTTGAAAAAAAAAAAACGTCGACTTTTCAAAGTTATAACTGAACACATACTTCTAATTCGTCGAAATTTAGTGAACCCTACCATAGCAGCACACTTGTCATTAATCAGTTGTGACTACTTTTTTGCAACTTATTCCAGTCACAATCAAGGTGCAGCAACTTATTGTGATGGAAGTGTGCTGCTTTTGTACCCTTTTATATTTTTTACACATTCATGACGTTTTTTTTCAATTCTCTGGAACCACGATTTTTATAAGCAACGCTACATTACATCAATCATCAAAAGTGGGTATCGAAATAAAACCTATAGTTAAATAAATACATCTAACAGAAAGGAAATTGTATGCCACAACGTTGCCCAGGGGAATATACGCCTATTGTTGATCGCTATTTAGTTATTAATTAATTTCTATAAAAAGGACAGTAATGTTTTTTGCATATTTCTTTTAAAATCTTTGTATATTTAGAATGTCATACAAACGTTGAAATGTCACGTTTTTCAAAGTTTCCACCGTACAAAAGTTTTTTTTTTAACATCCTTAGCTGTTATTTTGGTCCACCCTATTATTCACCCCGTAATTTTAATTGAGTACTGTACTTTCTTACGACTCGCATGACTAGGTGTTAAGTGTAATCTATTAGGTAAGAACAATCCATTACTCAGAGTAACACAAAGCTGGCAAAGAAGCGAAGACGCTGTGAAATCAGTTTCGTGATAAGCGGTCGGAAGAGATGCGAAATTGCATTGCTCTTGCCCTCAGCACCGATCGCCATGTCGTCGTTCACGTGCTGCAAATGTGATCGCCAGCGGGAACGCATTATGTTGTGACTTATCGCCTGATCCAGTTGTTGCTCTCTGCCACTCATGGTAAAGGTTAACAGTAGCATTGTACTGCTGTGTGGTGCCATTAGATGGGGCTTGTTAGGTTGTATACAGGTGTCCAGTACAGCAAACGAGGGGTGATCAAAAGTTACCGAATGAAATTTATTAAGCCATTGTGACCTTTTCATGTATCACTTTCCAGATTAGTTTAGACACTATATATTAGAAAAGGTAGTCCCTATCAACCAAAAAAGAAATCTTCTTCTTCTTCTTATTCGCATTTCAAGCTTATTGCTTTTAGTGCATATTAGCTTATTGCGTGCTCTCAACTTAGTGTTCTAAATGCACTTCCACAGTTATTAATTGAGAGCTTTCGATGCCAATACCAAAGCATGGATTTGTATATTGTGTGGCAAGCACAATGATACTCTATGCCCACGGAAGTCGAGAAAATTTCCAACCCGAAAGATTCCCTCGACCGGACCGGGAATCGAACCCGCCGCCTCCGGCTTGGTAATATCATAGAGGTAACTCTAAGACCACTGGGTCCCGAAGAAAATCATTATTATTTTTGGCTCACTCAGTACCAGAACAACGGTCCCAAGCAGCCCAAGCTATTTCACTCACCCCTGCATGTTCTGAATGAATCCACACACCCCTGATTTTATCTGTCAAACTTTCATAGCGAATCAAAACAAACATAGTGTAGTAATAGAATTTCAACTAGAATAGGGTACGTTAATCGTTTGCTTGGGACCAATAGGCTACTAAAGTGGTGAGCCAATTTAAAATCGTTAGTTTCGTATTGATTGTTGGTAATACCATGCCTTTACTGACTAGGCTATGAGGCCCCACAAAAAAGAAATCTACTTCAAATATTTAAAAATCAATCGAATATTTAATATAAAACGTAGCCCTTCAGTTTTTATCCCCCGTAGAATCATTGAAAAACAAAAATATATTAAAACAAAAAAATAGTTAAATTGCATCGCTTAGAAGTACTCGCCAAAAATAAGTCTCCAACCGATTGTCATTGTTACGGATTTCGTGCTTCATTATAGCTCAGTAGCTTTCGATCAGCCGCAACTCCGGTGTGTTTGGGGAAATGAGATCTTTCGGCATGAATTGACCCCATTCGTCTTGAACGTAGTAGTAGCAACCGGTGGAAACTAAAGCCGCTAGTCGAAATTCTAGTACTACACTATGTTTGTTTTGATTCGCTATGAAAGTTTGACAGATAAAATTAGGGTTCGTGGATTTTCCTATTTTTCGAGGGGTGCATCAATTAGCTTGGGATCGAAGAGAGTATCAGAGCTGAGCCAATAAGTTGAGCACGTTTTTTTCGGGACCTTCTAGTCTTAGAGTTACCTCTATGGTAGTAGTGACAAGAGGCTAGATCCGTCAAAAAATGTAGAAACTTTGTGCGATTTGAGAAACGAAAGCAGTC